AGAGAGAGATCATTTACATGCGTTCGGAAATGATCCATCCGTTTACTTTCTTGATTATTGTCTTTACTAATCAATGGCCAATCACAGAAAGTAGCAATGGATAAATCAATAAAAATTTCTGCGAAGCATGCCATCCTACCTTATAGTGAACTTCTGTAGCTAAAATATTGCTATGAGCTGAAATATTCTCTCAACACTTCGATTGTGATTGTATTGCAAAAAAAATGCAGAACGAAGATTAAGGATCATCTTGAAATTTTGCAGCAGATTTAAATCAACTTCACCGAAATTGCGAAATTTAGTTTAATAAAAAGATATGAATAGTAATATACATAATTGAAATAATTATGTGTTGCAAGCAATGATAAGGAAATTCATTATGTTGATGACAAGATAGAACTCCATATTTTATATATACTGCACTTTAAAGTGTATGCAAAGTCACTGTTGCTTAGTTCTTCTATAGGTTCATGTTGATACGCATTGTTCTGCACAATCCTTCGCTTATTTTCTTGTTAAGGACAGCAAGTTGATTTTGCATCGCCTAATTGCAACATTTTGCTTCTCAAGAAATCGTCCAAATCGAAACATTCAAAGCAGTACTTGGAATTGGGGTTAATCGCAACCTATCACACGCTTCTCATGACATCCACGTCGGACTGACGTCTTCTTTAATTCCCAGCAGATTAAGGGCTTCGAGATGGATTAAGAAGTTTGAAGTCTCTATTCTGTTAGTCATCCCTTGATGTGCCAGCAGCGGTGATATGTGAATCAAAATTGGGACTTGAACTGAATCTTAGCATGCACGACCTTTCGATTGAACGCTAGATCTTAAATTGGATAGCAAGGAAGAAACATTGACATCACCTATGAGTTAGCGCCTCATTTCTTTAGTGTAATCTAGCATGAAGCCATCAAAACGGCACAAACGAAACGAGGTGAGCGCATTTTGTAGTCATTTTGTTGTGCCACTGTCCAAGGCGAGTTTCAAGTAACTTCGGGTCTTCGTAATGTTCCCTATCGATTTTCTAGCCAAACCTCATTCTTAGTTTCGCTTTGAAGACTGAAAGGATAATTTTCCAAGCTCAAATGAAGGCGCCCCTTATTGTTAGTCAGATCACTACTTCTTCAACTCTACCGCAAATTATCTGTAGTTCATGGAAATCTGTTGTAAGTGAAAACTTTTATTGGCTTGATTTCCAAGGAATTGTTGAAGGTAATCAAAGGTCTTTGCCATTATATTTGTCCTTATCAGCTAAGGCCTTGCTTTCGGACTTGGCTCCATTCTGGTCAAGTGTGATATCATCTTCTTTATCGCTTGATACCACTACGGTAGAGACGGTGCTATAGTTCGACTCCTCTGTGACTGCCTCGAGGCTAAGGTTCGGAAGATTGTATTTTTGAACTGTAAACACATAGTGTAACACTCCATTTAACCGCTTTAATTGCAGTAGCACTGCGAAATATGGAATACAATTTGGAACAGAAGAATAAATAAAGTTGTATTACCACGCTCTATCCCATCACGTTCCACATCATCGTGACGATTTTCTGAGTTTGATCTTGAACGGATGGTGCTTAAATATGTCAAAATACGCAAAAAAAAATTTGCTGTAGCATTCAGTTTACAATTTAGAGATAACTAATATAACACAAACATCCACATGCCGCTTATAAAAACAAGCTTTTCTAATACTAATACGGTACTTACGGAGCTAGTGCTAAGCTAAATTTCCTCAGAAAATTCGGTGTTGGCTCAGATTCTTCGTGTGATTTAGCTGAAGAAGTCAGCTTTATTCTAAAAAAAATCATGCAGAATATTAGCTTACGAATGTCTTCCGGTCTTACAGACACCATTTTTACTTCCTCTCCTTTGTTGAAACTAGAAATCTTAATAGTTATCTTATACAAGAAAGATTTCGATTTTGCTTACTCGTAATTTTCAGCGGAGCCCACAAGAGCGCGATCGGCACCATGTAGATGGCTGTCTTCCGAATAGACAGGGTTATAGTCCGGATTAGAGAAACAATCAGGTGCAGGCTCAGGACATGCACCGTATTGTTCATCAACGATCATAAGACCTGTCTGAAAGAAACGAAACTGCTTGTGATTTTCTCTGTCAAAACGAATTTCACAAGTGTTTAAGCCTGTTCTTCACACCACAGCAATTTGTTTATGGAATTATTTTTGATTCATCGCTACATGGACTAGATACGCTTATGTCTATGTTTAACAACTGCCTACTAGA